CCATCTCCTGGGTTCAATAGATTCTTGTGCCTCAGCCTCCTGAGTAGCTGGGACTATAGGCATGTGCCACCATGCTTGGCTAATTTTTGTATTTTTAGTAGAGATGGTATTTCACCATGTTGATCAGGCTAGTCTTGAACTCCTGACCTCATGATGTGCCCACCGTGGCCTCCCAAAATGCTGGGATTACAGCTGTGAGACACTGGCCCCTCAGCATTGTTAAATTCAAGGTATGGCTGGGCTTGGTGGCTCACGCCTGTAATCTCAGCACTTTGGGAGGCTAAGGTGGGCGGATCACCTGAGGTCAGGAGTTCAAGAACAGCCTGGCCAACATGGTAAAACGCTGTCTTAAAAAAAAATAAGTTAATTAATTAAAAATAAATAAATAAATTCAAGGTGTGATATAACCTTGAATCTCTCTACTCCTATAATGTATCTTTGTTCATAAGACATTTTAATTTTTAAGTATTTCCTATTTCGTAGAAATGGGGTTACTCAGTCAAAGATAACATTTTTGAGGGCTTTTATAAACATACTGCCAGATTGCTTTCTTAAAGGGCAAGAGCAGGACTTGTGTGTACCTGCTACCCTGAGACATCCATCCACAGCTTTGAGTAACTACCAAACGCCCATTAGAGCAGCCTGTTTGCAGCCTCCATAAACCCGGCTGTTGGCCCCTAATCCTTGGTAGTGGGCATTCTGTTCCACCCCACTGGAAACTTTTCTGACCAAAATTTTGATGTCTTCTTAACCTGTAATGATTTCGGTTTTTTTGTGGCTCTGTACTTTCCTGGTGCTGCTTTTGTTTTTTTTGATTATTGCTGCTGCTGCTGCTGCTGACTCTTCTTCCTTCTTCTTTCTTCTCCTTCTTCTTTTTTTTTGAGACGGAGTTTCACTCTTGTTACCCAGTCTGGAGTGCAGTGGCGCAATCTCGGCTCACCACAACCTCCACCTCCCAGGTTTAAGTGATTGTCCAGCCTCAGCCTCCCGAGTAGCTGGGATTACAGGCATGAGCCACCATGCCTGGCTAATTTTGTATTTTTAGTAGAGACAGCGTTCTCCATGTTGGTTAGGCTGGTCTCAAACTCCCAATCTCAGGTGATCCACCCTTCTTGGCCTTCCAAAGTGCTGGGATTACAGGCGTGAGCTACCGCGTCCTGCCCACCCCCCCTTTTTTTTTTAAGATGGAGTTTCACTTTTGTCGCCCAAGGGGAGTGCAGTGGTGTGATCCTGGCTCACTGCAACCTCCGCATCCTGGGTTCAAGCAGTTCTGCCTCAGCCTTCAGAGTAGCTGAGATTGTGCCCACCACCACACCCCAGCTAATTTTTGTATTTTCAGTAGAGGCAGCGTTTCTCATGTTGGCCAGGCTGGTCTCGAAACCTTGACCTCAGGTGATACTCCTGCCTCGTGAGCCACTGCACCCAGCCTTTCTTATTTTTTTGCTAGCTCTGTTACTTCTGTTTACCACAGTGTTTCCGCTGGGGTATTTGTTAAAAGTCAGGTTCCTGGATTCTACCGTGACCCTTTAATGTTAAAAAAGCTTCTCAGGAAATGTGAGCATTTTCTCTGGAGTCTGTCTTTAGCCTTCTCTCCTCACTTGACTGTATTTACAGTTAGAGCTGCATTTTTCTGACGTGTCCATCATCTCTACTTCCATTCTCATACTAACCTGTTGAGAGCTCTGTACAGACATTCTGACTATAGGACTTCCCCATCTAGATGATCTACTTTTGTCTAAAACTTTCTGAATTAACTAGTCCTCATCCTGAGCTGGCTCTCTTTTCTGATTTACTTTCGTCTGTCAGTGGCCTTGTTATTCTCCAGATCACTGAGACTGAAGCCTTAGGGATTGTGCTTGACCAATCCTTCTTTCTTGTCCCCATGTCTAGTCCTGGTGACTGCAGAATTTCTTTCCCAACTTTCATTCCTACTGCCTTCCCTGGAAACCCTTCCCAGAGGGCCTCTGTTACCTTCCTCCCAGACTGCTGCATCAGCCTTGTAGCTGTTCCCTCCTAAGTTCTCTTCCTTCCCATCCATCACATACATGTGTAATGGACTGATCTTTTCAACTCTAGTTGTCATGTTCAGTGGCTTCCACTGCTTACCGAATAAAATCCAAACTCTTCAGCCTGGCTTTAGCCTCCCTTAGTGAAATCTCTCACTTCTCCCCTAGGCATAGGCAGTCTGTACTGTAGCCTGAGCAGGTAGTGCACAGCTCCTCAACCATACATACATCACCTCTCCTACCACGGTGCCGAGATGCCTCCCAGGTTCACTTACCCTTGGTGCAATCATGACATACCTTAAGTGCTCTTTATTGCCTCCTCTTCCTTCCTCTCCATGTAACCCTTAACCCAGAAGTGATCTTTCCCCTTTTTCATCCCCACAATGTTGAATCTTAAGGCAGTTATACATTTGCCTTGATGTTATTTGTGTGTGCCTTATCTCTTCTACATGGAAAAGTTCTTGGAAGGGGGAGGAAGGTAACATTTATTGAATGCCCACATGTGCCAGGGCTCTGTGTAAGGGCTTACATATCTCATAATTCCAGTCTCACAATAACCCTGTGATTTAAGTGTTCTATAAGAACAGGGACCATGTCTGTTTTTGTTCACTATTGTACCTCCCAACACCTGGCTCAAGGTCTGGTGAACCTTAATTGCTTGGTAAACATTTTTTGAATTAATAGACTGGTTCTTGCCACTCCCTTTTGCTTAAACTCTGCCAGTACTGGTTTACTGGCATCTAGAATAAAATCAATTTTCCTTTCCACCATCTATACCTCTCCACTGATCTGACTCCTGTCTGCTTTCCCAGCCCCACCTTGTGCCACTCTTCTCTCCCTCACTGCTCTTTCCTCAGTTCCTGGTACACATCAAGCTCTGTTCTTACCTCAAGGCCTTTGCAGATAATGGTCTCTGCCTGGACACCCTTGCCCCTGTTCTTTATGTGGCTGGCTCCTTCTCATCCTTCAGGCTTCAACTTACATGTCATCTTCACAAAAAGGACTTTATCCTATTGGGAAGAGGGCTCTTTCTGTTTTATATATATTTCAGTACCTTGTTTTCTTCTTAGTACTTGTCATAATTTGCAGGTATTTTACCCTCAACTCCCAGCTCTTTAGTTAGAATATGAGTTCCATGAAGGCATCTTCCTGGCCATGTCTCTGTTTTATGTCTGGTACTTATCATGGTGCCTGGCATCTAGTATTAAGTAAATTCTCATTTAGATCATTAAATATTTGTCCAAAGTCAAGCCAGTCTTGGCCAAGAGGGACTTAAACCAAGTCAGCCTGGGTTCATCTTTTGCCTGGTAGACGAGATTCTTCAGTGTTCCTTGAATGAATAATAGAGAAGAATGAAAGATGCGGAGTTCATTCGATCTTTGTTTTCTTTTTTTTTTTAATAGAGACGGGGTTTCACCATTTTGGCCAGGCTGGTCTCGAACTCCTGACCTCAAGCAATCCACCTACCTCGGCCTCCCAAAGTGCTGGGATTACAGGCGTGAGCCACTGCGCCTGGCCAGTTTGTTTGTTTTGAGACAGAGTCTTGTTCTATCATGTAGACTAGAGTGCAGTGGCATGATCTTGGCTCATTGCAACCTCGAACTCCTGGGTTCAAACAATTCTCGTGCTTAAGCCTCCGGAGCAGCTGGGACTATAAGAACAGGGACCATGTCTGTTTTTGTTCACTATTGTACCTCCCAGCACCTGGCCGCCACCTCACCCATCTAATTTTTTGTATTTTTAATAGAGACAGAGTTTCACCACGTTGGCCAGCCTGTTCTTGAACTCCTGACCTCAAGTGATCCATATGCGTCGGCCTCCCAAAGTGCTGGGACTACAGGCATGAGCCACTGTGCCTGGCCTAACATGGAGTTATTTCTACCACTTTCTTGCCTTTGTGTTTCATCCTCTCCCCAAGGCCCAGGAAAATGGCATATGTGCATGATTAAAATTGGAATCTGGATCCTGCTGTAGCTTGCAGGCCCGGAGGCCAGTATATACACAGGCCCAAGGAGGCAAGCAATGCCAGTCCATATGCTACAGTTTTTTTGTTTTTGTTTTAATTTTTTTTTCTTTTTTTTCGAGACGGAGTTTTGGTCTGTCGCCAGGCTGGAGTGCAGTGGCACAATCTCGGCTCATTGCAACCTCCATCTCCTGGGTTCAAGTGATTCTTCTGCCTCAGCCTCCCAAGTAGCTGGGACCACAGGCATGTGTCACCATGCCCGGCTGATTTTTGTATTTTTAGTAGAGACGGGGTTTCACCATGTTGGCCAGGATGGTCTCAATCTCTTGACCTCGTGATCCGCCTGCCTCGTCCTCCCAAAGTGCGGGGATTACAGGTGTGAGCCACCGCGCCTGGCTAATTTTTTTTTTCAAATGGAGTTTCCCACTTGTTGCCGAGGCTGGAGTACAATGGCATTGTCTTGGCTCACTGCAATCTTCGCCCCCTGGGCTTGAGCAGTTCACCTGCCTCAGCCTCCCAAATAGCTGGGATTATAGGCACCTGCAACCACATCTGGCCAATTTTTTTGTATTTTTAGTAGAGATGGGGTTTCACCATGTTGGCCAGGCTGGCCTTGAACTCCTGAGCTTAGGTGATCACTCACTTCAGCCTCCCAAAGGCCTGAGCCACTGTTTAATGATTGCAAAATGCCTTTTCTTGGGAGAAACAGGACACCAGTGAGACGGAACCACCAATTCACTTTGTTCCTGTTTGTATGCTGATTCTGGGGAAGAAAGTAGAACTAGGGGAGAGGTGGTTCTGGTAAGGCTTAAGGAATTCTGCCATGCCTGCTGGGACTTGGAAGCTCTCATTTCTGCCCTGCTGGCCTCCACCTCCCTACTTCTCCCTGGCCACAAACTACTAAAAGTAGGAGCATGAGGAAAAAATTCTTAAAGGTATGACAACTGAACTATGGAAGAGAAAACCCTAAGTGACTTACTTCTTGGATCTCATCTGCTGTTCCTTCCCTCACTCATACTGCTCCAGGATACTGGACTTGCTGCCCGGAACACTTGCCGTCTGCTCGCGCCTCAGGGCTCTTGCATAGGACATTATCTCTTGCTTTGAAAACTCTGTCCATAGATCCATATGGCTTGCGCTGCCGTCTTCAGGTCTTTGATTGGACTTTACCTTCTTGGAATATTCTGGGCTTTCATCCTTAATCCCTGAAAGATCTGAGAAAATAAACAAATAAAACGACAACCCCTTACCCTCCACCCTTGGTCTCCCTATCTCCCTTTCCTGCTTTATTTTTATCTATAGCACATACCTGCCAACACAGCTATGTATTTTGCTTTTTATTTGTTATGTCTCCTCACATTAGAATATAAATTTCCTAAGCGCAGGAATTTGAGGCTCTTTTATTCACTGTTAAATCCTCAGGACCCAAGGTGACCTATTCATGGTAGTTACTCAATAAGTTTTTGTTGAATAAATGAATGAACTCTTGTCTTTCACCTCCAGAGAGAGTAAAAATAAAATGCAATTGCAGGTAGACCTCTCAGTGGTAGTGGGTTGGGTGAATCTGGGTACCATTCTATCTTCATTAGCATTTTGAAAGATGAATTTTTCTTTTTTTTTTCTTTTTTTTTTTTTTTTAGACGGAGTTTCACTCATGTTACCCAGGCTGGAGTGCAGTGGCGTGATCATGGCTCACTGTAGTCTCTACTTCGAGGACTCAGGTGGTCCTCCAACCTCATCCTCCCAAGTTGCTGG